GGGGAGAGAGAGAGGAGAGAGAGGGAGGAGAGAGAGAGAGGGGAGAGAGAGAGAGGAGAGAGAGAGAAGGTGGAGAGAGAGAGGGGAGAGAGAGAGAGGAGAGGGAGAGAGAGGGAGAGAGAGGAGAGAGAGAGAGAGAGAGTGGGGAGAGAGAGAGGGGAGAGAGAGGGAGGAGAGAGAGAGGGGGGAGAGAGAGAGAGGAGAAAGAGAGAGGGAGGGAGAGAGAGGGGGAGAGAGAGGAGAGAGAGGGGGAGAGAGAGAGAGGAAGAAAGAGAGAGGGGGGAGAGAGGAGAGAGAGGGGGAGAGAGAGGGAGCGAGAGAGAGGGGGAGAGAGAGAGAGGAGAGAGAGAGAGGGTGGAGAGAGAGGGGAGAGAGAGAGAGGAGAGAGAGAGAGGGGAGGGAGAGCGTGGGGAGGGAGAGAGGGGAGAGTCTGTCTGTCTGTCTGTCTGTCTGTCTCTCTGTCTGTGTCTGTCTCTCTGCCTGTCTGTCCATCTGTGTCTGTCTGTCTGTCTGTCTGTCTGTCTGTCTGTCTGTCCATCTGTGTCTGTCTGTCTGTCTGTCTGTCTGTCTGTCTTTCCATCTGTGTCTGTCTGTCTGTCTCTCTGCCTGTCTGTCTGTCTCTCTGCCTGTCTGTCTGTCCATCTGTGTCTGTCTGTCTGTCTGTCTGTCTGTCTGTCTGTGTCTGTCTGTCTCTCTGCCTGTCTCTCTGCCTGTCTGTCTGTCCATCTGTGTCTGTCTGTCTGTCTCTCTGCCTGTCTGTCTGTCTGCCTGTCTGTCTGTGTCTGTCTCTCTGTTTGTCTCTCTGCCTGCCTGTCTGTCTGTCTATCTGTCTGTCTGTCTCTCTGCCTGCCTGCCTGCCTGCCTGCCTGCCTGTCTGTCTGTCTCTCTGCCTGTCTGTCTGTCTCTCTGCCTGTCTGTCTGTCTGTCTGTCTGCCTGTCTGTGTCTGTGTCTGTGTCTGTGTCTGTGTCTGTGTCTGTGTCTGTCTGTCTGTCTGTCTGTCTGTCTGTCTGTATCTCTGTCTCTCTGCCTGTCTGTCTCTCTGCCTGTCTGCCTGTCTGTCTCTCTGCCTGTCTGTCTGTCTGTCTCTCTGCCTGTCTGCCTGTCTGTCTCTCTGCCTGTTTGTCTGTCTGTCTGTCTGTCTGTCTGTTTGTCCGTCTGTCTGTCTGTCTGTCTGTCTCTCTGCCTGTCTGTCTGTCTGTCTGTCTGTCTGTCTCTCTGCCTGTCTGTCTGCCTGTCTCTCTGCCTGTCTGTCTGCCTGTCTGTCTCTCTGTCTCTCTGCCTGTTTGTCTGTCTGTCTGCCTGTCTGTCTCTCTGCCTGCCTGTCTGTCTGTCTGTCTCTCTGCCTGTCTGTCTGCCTGTCTCTCTGCCTGTCTGTCTGCCTGTCTGTCTCTCTGCCTGCCTGTCTGTCTCTCTGTCTCTCTGCCTGTTTGTCTGTCTGTCTGTCTGTCTGCCTGTCTGTCTCTCTGCCTGCCTGTCTGTCTGTCTGTCTCTCTGCCTGTCTGTCTGCCTGTCTCTCTGCCTGTCTGTCTGCCTGTCTGTCTCTCTGTCAGGGTGTCCATCTGAATACTAATTGGAAGAGAGACAGAGTTTCTTTGATGACGGAGGACAATGGAGAATCAGAAACAGAAGAATCTCATTATTTCATCTTCTTCCTGATTGGTCGGTGTTTGTGTGACCGCCGCCTGCTGTCACGGCGTGGATACCGTGACCTTCACAATAAGGCCGTTGTGTTTGGGGGCCCAGAGCGGACACAGCTTCCTCTCCTGCCGCCCTCAGAGACGTGTGGACAACAACAAAGATGGCTGAATGCACAACATAGTCCTGTTTGTCCTCTGGGAAAGGTTAGATACACAGGACGGCTTGTTGTCCAGAGGTCAACGCCGCCTCGTCGACGCCGCATCAGCGTGACCTTCTGCTCTGTGACCACACGAGACTTCATGAAAACCGTATACCTGTTCATCATAAGTCTGGTTCTGGTCCAGGTTTCTGTCTGTTCATCATGAGTCTGGTTCTGCTCCAGGTTTCTGTCTGTTCAACATGAGTCTGGTTCTGGTCCAGGTTTCTGTCTGTTCATCATAAGTCTGGTTCTGGTCCAGGTTTCTGTCTGTTCAACATGAGTCTGGTTCTGCTCCAGGTTTCTGTCTGTTCATCATAAGTCTGGTTCTGGTCCAGGTTTCTGTCTGTTCAACATGAGTCTGGTTCTGGTCCAGGTTTCTGTCTGTTCATCATAAGTCTGGTTCTGGTCTAGGTTTCTGTCTGTTCAACATGAGTCTGGTTCTGGTCCAGGTTTCTTTCTGTTCAACATTAGTCTGGTTCTGGTCCAGGTTTCTGTCTGTTTAGGGGGGTTGAACCGGTCTTACAGAATTATGTTTGAATGTTTTTTCACCTTGTTGCATTTTAATGTTAAGGTCCAGGTCCAGGTCCAGGTCCAGGTCCAGGTCCAGGTCCAGGTCTCTTATATCTCAAATCTCTCTTTTTAATGTGCTGGTTTAACAATTTCCACATTTCTAAACTAGTTAAACTTGAAACTTCAAAAGTTCACTTAGCAGAATCTTTTAGTCAAAGCAACGTTCATCAGAGAGGAAGAACTAGGAGAGAAAGGAAACGATGGCCTCACGTGGAGGAAGTCAACAGAAAAGAGGGCAGCAGAGCCTCATTGGGTCATCAACATCTGGAGCAGAGACAACCATCCTGTTCACACATTGTTGACAGCAGAGCCACCATATGAGCAGAGTGAGGCGAGGGGGGGGCAGAGACAGATGAAGCCTGACATTCAGAGCCCACGGGTTAACAGACGAGCTCCTCTTCATCATGTGGGACAGCACAGGAGGAGAATCAGAGGATCTCTGAGCCTTCACAGGTTTGAACTCTTATTTTCTTTATTCACACGCTGTTGATCACTAGCAAACCTCTAGAATCAATATGACCCATGCATTAAAGTTTGGAATATTTCTTTAAATTAGATCAAATGTTGATTGTTTTACAGGCATCACTTTGAACTAAAGCCCGACTCAGTGGGAACACTTCTGTTCTGTTGTGTAGGAGCTGAACGAGTGCATGATGAACGCTGCTGTCATACTGCTGTTAACATCAGGCTGCTTCACCTGGTCTTCAGCTTTGTATACCCCCAACAGAGCAGGTACAGTGACCACAGTCAGCCTGCAGGGTCAGGGTTCACTCTGCAGCTCAGGGACTGTGAAAATGATTCACTTTCTATTGGAATAACAGGCATTGTTAGTTACTCTCTCTGTCTTTCTGGTGAATTAACCACAGCTTCAAAATGCCCTAAAACTCAACACACTTGGCACACAAACAAAACGCTCCATAGTGCCCCCTGTAGTGGTCTTAAAGGAATCCCCTTTGTGGTCACACAGAAGGATCTAGTACGACAATTGTGCTGGTCAGAATAAAGATGACTTCATCAGACAGCTAGGCTAATCGCTGTCTGCGCAGATGTAACGCTAAAGTGATCACATTAAATCATACCCTTGAATCTACCCTACTTTGATTGGCTGAATAGGAAGGAGACATATGATTGGCTACAGACATTTCCCTGCTGAAAAAAAACCATTTGTGAATCTAACCACGGCAGGGGAGTCTCAAAAGTCCCACACACAAATGCAGTGAGGTTCACAAATGACAAACAGTTTGTAAATGCAGACTGAACAGTTTATATATAAATGTAACAAGATACAAATGTGTTTTTTTAAATATATATGTATATCATATATTTGTGGATTTGTTTTACATTTATATAGAATGAAATATATTTGTGAATCCTTCTGTGTGCATTTGTGAATATTGAGACTGATCTGACTCCATAGGAATCGAGCTCTGGAAACCTTTGATCTGCCCGCTCATTTGTGTGCATTTTCATTCATGCTTTGCATTGATGTTTTTTAAAGAAGAAGAAGATATACTTTATGAAGTATTTGGTTGAACGTGATCGTGTAGAGGCTTACAGAGGCTGATCCACATGCAGGTGTGGGTTTTATAATTCTGAATTATTTTGGGCGCCTGCCATTTCAAAAAAATAAAATAAAGTTAAATTAAACTCACAAAATAACTGAACACAAACTTCTTGGACTGTTTGTTACAAACAGCAGAGAAACACAGATAATCTATCTGAAATGTACATGACAATTCTCCAAAAGGCTTCGACAAACACTAAGGTAAAATTCAGTCACAGATTTAGCTGATGAGGCACCAAGCAGTAAAACATCATCCTTCTTAAAGTTTTAATGAAGAGAGAAACGAGCTCTAGAGACCCAAACTGTTTTTATTCCAGGCTGTAAACATGTTTATTTTAACATGGGACTCTATGGGGACTGACTCACTGCAAGAGACAGACTCTAGTGGACACTGGAGGAACTGCAGCTGTAAAGTTGGACATTTTAACATGGGCCTGACTCACTGCAGGAGACCGACTCTAGTGGACACTGGAGGAACTGCAGCTGTAAAGTTGGACATTTAAACATGGGGCTGACTCACTGCAGGAGACAGACTCTAGTGGACAAAAAAGAAAACTGCATTGATGCTTGGTTGTAGACAAAATCGACGGAACCTGCCAACATTCGACTTTTTGCTAGGACTATTTATTTACTGATAAAATAAATGTAATTAAAGCGCTCCATTTCATCTGGTTTCCCTCTGTCTGTTTGTGAAGTAGTGGCACAGCAGCACAGCCAAATAGAGACCAATTTAAAGCTAATGTTTTTGGGATTTGAAGTTAATGTTTCCTCATTTTATTCATTCTGTTTCTTTTTTGAAGATATATGTAGATAAAAACATTCTTTAGAAGTGTTATATTTATCAATGTGAGATGAATTAAACTGCAGTGACTTTGGTTAACATGAGACATGTTTTATCCTAACTGATCTGCAGCATCCAATAAGCTGAAGTATCTCCTGGAGCCTCCGGTGTACGCTGAAGTCATTGGACGACGGGGAGAAAACGTGACTTTGCCGTGTATCCTGAGAACAAAACCCAGCCATTACAAAGTCAAATGGACAAAGCTGCAGACGGAACATGTCGGAAAGGAGAACATTATCATGATATCGAATTCACACGCATTCAAACGGTATGGCCGTCTCGGTCCGAGGGCTACGCTCAGGAACGCTCACTCCATGGACGCCTCGCTGCAGCTCAGCCACCTCGAGCTGGAGGACGGCGGTTCGTATCGCTGCGAGCTCATCAACGGCATCGAGGATGAGAGTGTGGTCGTGTCTTTGAGGATTGAAGGTATCTGTAGAAATATTCAGCACAGTATTAGCGTTAGAATTCACAGTCAACACAATGCAGTACACAAACAGAGCACTACTATAAAAAATATGAACAAACCTTAAGGAATGACTATTTTCACTGAATATCTTCAATGACATACATAATGTCTGCAGATTGGAAATGCAATAGTTAATAAGTTACCCACGCCAATCTTCTTCTATAACCCTCATTTAGCAGGTTGATGGATTTCCACAAACATTTTTCTGATATTAATGGCCTACAAACTGCAGCTGCAGCGTTCTACCGACATGGGGCAGACGACACACTGCTGGGACTTGTGCTCTGAGACTCTGGGGCACAGGGAGGCTAAGACTCTGGGGCACAGGGAGGCTGAGGCTCTGGGGCACAGGGAGGCTAAGACTCTGGGGCACAGGGAGGCTGAGGCTCTGGAGCTGAGGCTCTGGGGCACAGGGAGGCTAAGACTCTGGGGCACAGGGAGGCTAAGACTCTGGGGCACAGGGAGGCTGAGGCTCTAAGGGCACAGGGAGGCTGAGGCTCTGGAGCTGAGGCTCTGGGGCACAGGGAGGCTGAGGCTCTGGGTTACAGGGAGGCCGAGACTCTGGGTCACTGGGTAGCTGGTCTTAGGCTTGGGCAGGTCCAAAGGGTGTATATAGAATATAGACATTGCTGTGAGTCGATGACCACATCCTCTTCTGCCAAGTCTTCATAGTCATCCGACCAAAAGAAATCCAAACTAATGAAAGATATTTTACAAAGAAGTAAATCCCCTTTGTTGTCATATGGACAGTGAAACAGAAAATGTATCTAATTCTCTATAGCTGATGATCGTGAACGTATTGGTTTACACAATATATGCACAGACCATTTTTCTCTGTGAATAGGAAAGCAAACTGGTTGGAGGTTTTATCGATTATTGCTCTCAATTAAAGACTGGATTCACACAATACTGCACAAGGTCAAATCATAAAAACTTCAGTTCAGCTTCTTTCTCCAGGTGTGGTGTTCCCGTATCAGAGTCAAAATGGACGCTATAGATTGACTTACCAGGGGGCTCAGGAAGCTTGTGCAGAGCAGGATGGTATTTTAGCCTCATTCAGCCAGCTGTACAGAGGTACCACACACTGTCCAACATTATATTCTGTCTGCAGCCATGTCAGCTCTGTTACAACCAGCCTGTGTTGTCCTGCAGCTTGGACCGAGGGGCTGGACTGGTGTAATGCAGGATGGTTAGATGACGGCACCGTTCATTACCCCATCATTGAGCCCCGCCCTGCTTGTGGAGGACAGACGCTCCCCGGTATTCGCAGTTATGGACCCAAAGATAAAAAACTGGATCAGTTCGACGCTTTCTGCTTCACCTCACAGACGTCTGGTAAGACCTGATCAGCTTTTAACCTTAAACTGTATGTAAGAAGACCACTGCATTGGTTGTACAAATCAGTCTGATTGTATAGAAGTCTATGATTAAATGTTCTTGTCACTTCAGTTAACATTTCCCCAATTACTTTTAATGTCTTGATCTCTGTTCTTCAACACAGCATGGTGTTCATTTAGTAAATTATGGTACCTTTGAGGGGTCAAAGAGACCAGCAAGAGGGGGAGGAGTTAGGGTAGGGCTACCTGGGATTGACAGGTCACTACCATGGCAATCTGAAGAAAGTCATGTTGGTGATCATTTAGTGGTTAAAATTCAGATTTATGGCTCCAGGAGGAATATAAAGTGTAAAACATATAGAGCTGCAGATATAGACAATATAACCCTAACCCCTGGGAGGAAAAGAGAACAAGAACACAAGAAGCATAGAGAGACACTAAAACACTCCACAGTGTGTGAAACCGGCTGACCTTTGAGAAGCTGCAGTCAGAGTGGGACTGATGGTAGGCTGTTGGAGGACAATCAAATCTTTTGATGAGACTTGGTGTCAAAGTTTGTCTGTGGGAAAATTCTATTCATCTATGTCCCTGGAAACTTTCCTGCAGTCTGAATAATGTCACAATGACTCAGCACGCTCCACTAGTTCTCCCATTTCAGTCAAACTATGTCAGGTGATGAAGAGCCACTGAATCAATGATTTTTCCACTTATTTCTGTATCTTTCCCACTCTCACAGGCTCCGTCTCCTACATTTCGGGCTCTTTCTCCTTCCAGCAGGCTGAAGACGCATGTAACCGCCAGGGATCCGAGCTGGCGTTGGTCGGTCAGCTTTACTCCGCCTGGCGTTTCCAGAACTACGACCAGTGTGACGGAGGATGGCTGAAAGACGGCAGTGTGAGGTTTCCTATCAGTAACCCCAGGGAGCGCTGTGGAGGCATCCCTGAGGCCGGCGTGCGCTCGTTTGGATTCCCCAACAAGATGAAGGATCTTTACGGCGCCTATTGCTACAGATAGCCCAAAATAATCAGAACAATCCACATTATGTGTTTCATGGAGAGGACACTTTATCACCTCGATTCGGTGTGATCACTCAGTATGTTTACATGCACAGTTAAGTCGAGCTACTGTCACAGCTAAATAAAATCTCTCTGCTACAGTAGGTGGTGAAAATCCCCCTTTGAGCGAGTCGCCGTTGGACCGTCTTCTTGGTGACCTTGAACACAACTTAGCAAACGGCAAAGTTGTGGTTGTACATCAAACATGGACGACTTTACATCTCTGTACAAACTGGGTGATATCTGGTGATATCTGACGTCTGCTCTGCTACGAACACATGCTGTTTGACTTCTAGATCAAAGTCAAATCAAACCAAAATCAACGATTTCTGTCAGACTAACGTGAACATGGCTTTAACAGTTGAGTTTGAGTCGCACTGACAAAATAAATCAGATTATTCTAACATCATGTAAACACACTGAGTGTGACCCCATGTGTTTCACCTGTGTGGCTCTGCAGTCACGTTGCCTTCACTGCACACAAAAACCAGTCAGATTAACTGAGTTTGAGTGAGAGGGGTTAACGAGCAGCTTGTTTTAATTTAATAGGAGATTGAGATCACTGGACAATTATAATGTGACATATAGATAACACAGTCTGCTGCTGTTTGGATGAACTGCTTTATCTGTTTCATAAATCTGTTTGATTTTATTCTTCCAATAAATATACGTCTACATATCAGTGAATGATTCACCCTTTATTTAAAGTTTTCTCTGACTCATTTTTTAGATGATTATTAATTTCCTGTTTCCCATCAGCATTACATTAAACTCTATTCATTCTACTTCTAAATGAGTTTATGATAAAATCCAGGACACACAGTCGGTGCAGAGATTTTCATTTTTCATTGAAATATTTGTTTTTCTAAAAGGCTGTAGTCCTCAAAGAGGGCGGACCAGGTCTGAATCTGACCTGTCCTATTTCTCCAATGAGCGCATAGAAAGCCCAACAGCCAGGTGTGAACTACAGGCAGGACTGAAATACAGGTATGTATTATATAATACAAGTGTGTACAACAGGCAGGTGTGGACTACAGGCAGGTGTAGACTACAGGTGTAGACTACGGGTGTAGACTACAGGCAGGTGTAAACAACAGGCAGGTGTGGACTACAGGCAGGTGTGGACTACAGGTGTAGACTACAAGCAGGTGTGAACTACAGGTGTAGACTACAAGCAGGTGTGAACTACAGGTGTAGACTACAGGCAGGACTGAAATACAGTTATGTATTATATAATACAGGTGTGTACAACAGGCAGGTGTGGACTACAGGCAGGTGTGGACTACAGGTGTAGACTACGGGTGTAGACTGCGGGTGTAGACTACGGGTGTAGACTACAGGTGTAGACTACAGGTGTGGACTACAGGCAGGTGTAAACAACAGGCAGGTGTGGACTACAGGCAGGTGTGGACTACAGGTGTAGACTACAAGCAGGTGTGGACTACAGGTGTAGACTACAGGCAGGTGTAGACTACAAGCAGGTGTAGACTACAGTTGTGGACTACAGGTGTGGACTACAGGGGTGGACTACAGATGTGGACTACAGGTGTTGACATCAGGTGTAGACTACAGGTGTGGACTTCAGGCAGATGTGGACTACCGGTGTAGACTACAGTTGTGGACTACAGGTGTGGACTACAGGCAGGTGTAGACTACAGGTGTGGACTATAAGCAGGTGTGGACTACAGGTGTAGACTACAGGTGTGGACTACAGGCAGGTGTAGACTACAGGTGTGGACTATAGGCAGGTGTAGACTACAGGTGTGGACTACAGGTGTGGACTACAGGCAGGTGTAGACTACAGGTATGGACTATAGGCAGGTGTAGACTACAGGTGTGGACTATAGGCAGGTGTAGACTACAGGTGTGGACTATAGGCAGGTGTAGACTACAGGTGTAGACTACAGGTGTGGACTACAGGTGTGGACTACAGGCAGGTGTAGACTACAGGTGTGGACTATAGGCAGGTGTAGACTACAGGTGTGGACTATAGGCAGGTGTGGACTACAGGTGTAGACTACAGGTGTGGACTACAGGCAGGTGTAGACTGCAGGTGTGTACTACAGGTGTAGACTACAGATGTGGACTAGTAGCAGGTGTGGACTACAGGGCAGGTAACCAGAGGAACAGATGACATAAGAAGATATCATGAAAACACTAATTTAACGGCTCATGTTTATCTGGACTGTGTTGCAGTCATTTAACGCAATTTAACAGTTTCAACACAAAGCATGAAACTGATTTACAACTCGTGTCCCTAGTTCCGCCTTTGGGTAACAAAATGTATATTTTATTATTTATTCATGTTTATGGTTTAACTTGTATTTGAGTAGGATTCTGGTTCTGGTTCTGGTTCTGGTGTTGAGTGCTGATGAAATAAAAGAACCCAGGTGTATTTGTATTTTGTTTATTGGATGTCTGATCTTTGAGGTTAACTAGTTATTATAATTTCCAGGAGATCAGTGAGACGGCCTTAAACTGACCAATCAGGAAGCTTTATGGTGGGTGGAGGGGGCGTTAGGGGTTAGGAGGATCAGTTAGCTCGATCTTCTCTGCTCTCGATCGTGACTCTTCAATTACATAAAGCTATTTCAACAACCTCTTTTTTTTTTTTTTTTTACAGTGTTTGTTCTTTAACACTTAAAAACAGCAAACTGTGGAAGCCCAGAGAGACACGCGGGGAATTTAATATCAGGTAGTGTTTTCTGCACACAAGCCATACAAAGTCACACATACACTCACTGTTTTTACTGAGATGATCTATACAATCTGTTTGACCTTTCCAGGCTTCTGTACCAAATTGTCCTCGAGCTTCTCGCCATCTAAAATATCGTGGTGACCTTGAGATGACCTTGATTAAAACATCTTTGTTAAATGATTTGATTAAAAAGCGGTGAGCTTGATTAAAAGATGGTAGTTAGATGATTTGATTAAAAAGCGGTGACCTTGAGATGATCTTGGTTGACCTCTTTATATTTCAATATTTGACTTAATGCAAAAACTGAACTTAAAAGTTTTTTCAGACGCGGAGGAATGTGGAGGATTGATTTAAAATGAAAAGGATGGCTTCAGATGTCCCACTTAATATCCCAGAAAAGAGGAGCTGCTTTCTCTGTGGTTGAATCCATGACCTCCATCACCTCAGCGGCCTCCTCAAACGCCTCCTGCTGGTGAGGAGGAGGAGTGACAGAGTTTTCTTCCACTGAATGAGCTAGAAAAGGGAGACATAGATAACCTGAGCTCTTTATTAATGAGCTGTTTATGTTGAAGTGACATCATCAGCTCGTCAGTTAATAAACTTACTCGGCATGCAGGTAATCAGAGGCTCCTCCCAAAGGCCGCCTGGCATGCAGTTGATCACCGGCTTCAGTTTCTGCACAAAACCATCCTCACAGTAGTACCTCACTTTGGTGTTGGTCTCATAACGTGACCGCTTCTTTCCGAACACCTTGGCGTTGGGGACTGTGGGGGGCTCGCCACAGGAGGCTGGAGTATGGAGGAAACAGGAAGGTGACATTCTTCTTCAGTCAGTGTTCATCATCAGTGACCACTCTGATAAAGGACCACACAGTGCACTCACAGACGCCCTTCTTGCAGGTGTAGGACAGGTGGTAGTTACACGGCACATCGCTCCAGCGGCCGCCATCGTGCCAGACCATTACAGCACAGTCCTCACCGGACAGGAAGTAGCTGTCAGGCTGTCCTCTGAACCAGTTCTGATAGAGCTGAGCAAGACAGAGAAGCTCATTTCAACAAGATCAGAAAAAGGAACTGGAGTTACTGTCCACGGGTGTATGTTGGCTGGGACAGGTGATTCATTTTATTCAGAAAAATCTTACAGAATACATTATTCTGAAACAGTGTCTAAGATTAAAAGAAAAGGTCAACATGTCCTTAACCAGAAATATCAAAACAGACATCAGCTCTTCTCACAGATACAGGACAAGGCTCAGACTTTACACCAATCAATAAAGGACAAGGCTCAGACTTTAGACCAATAGATACAAGACAAGGCAATACAACAAACTATTCAGTGACAAATTATTTAATCTTATTTTATACATTGAGATTTTTTTTAATTGTGTGTGTGTGAGAGAGTACGTGTGTGATACTGTGGACTGAGAGTAAAACTGACCAGAGGGTTCCCGTCCGACCAGCGGAAGTCTCCCTCGATGGTTTTGTCGTTCAGTCCGATCCACTGATACTCTCTATATCTGTCTGTTAAAGAAGAGAGGGTCACTGTGCTGCAGCCACTAACACTGATTATATCTGTTAAAGAAGAGAAGGTCACCCTGCTGCAGCCACTAACACTGATTATATCTGTTAAAGAAGAGAAGGTCACCCTGCTGCAGCCACTAACACTGATTATATCTGTTAAAGAAGAGAGGGTCACCCTGCTGCAGCCACTAACACTGATTATATCTGTTAAAGAAGAGAAAGGTCACCCTGCTGCAGCCACTCACACTTTGATTATATCTGTTAAAGAAGAGAGGGTCGCCGTGCTGCAGCCACTCACACTTTGATTATATCTGTTAAAGGAGAGAGGGTCACCCTGCTGCAGCCACTCACACTGATTATATCTGTTAAAGAAGAGAGGGTCACTGTGCTGCAGCCACTCCCACTTTGATTATATCTGTTAAAGAAGAGAGGGTCGCCGTGCTGCAGCCACTCACACTTTGATTATATCTGTTAAAGAAGAGAGGGTCACCCTGCTGCAGCCACTCACACTTTGATTATATCTGTTAAAGAAGAGAGGGTCACCCTGCTGCAGCCACTCACACTGATTATATCTGTTAAAGAAGAGAGGGTCACCCTGCTGCAGCCACTCACACTTTGATTATATCTGTTAAAGAAGAGAGGGTCACCCTGCTGCAGCCACTCACACTGATTATATCTGTTAAAGAAGAGAGGGTCACCCTGCTGCAGCCACTCACACTGATTACATCTGTTAAAGAAGAGAGGGTCACCCTGCTGCAGCCACTCACACTGATTATATCTGTTAAAGAAGAGAAGGTCACCCTGCTGCAGCCACTCACATTTTGATTATATCTGTTAAAGAAGAGAGGGTCACCCTGCTGCAGCCACTCACACTGATTACATCTGTTAAAGAAGAGAGGGTCGCCGTGCTGCAGCCACTCACACTGATTACATCTGTTAAAGAAGAGAGGGTCACCCTGCTGCAACCACTAAAACTCCTGCACAACTGTTACACACACACATTGGCTGTGTTTCAGTGTTTCAGTGTGTCTCTTCTGATCATCTGGTCTCACTGATGTTTCTGCTAACAGTCTCTTCAAGTCCGTCCAGAGATCTGACCATGAATCACTCAAACGTCTCTCATAGAGGGTTTTTACCGTTGATGTAGTCCTGCTCCTCAGGGGTCATCACGGAGAGAAGGTGACCTCCACACATGCGACAGTGCTGCTCCGCCGCCTCCCAGCTCTGTCTGGTGGTGAAGTGACGATAACAGAAACCATGAAACTTCTCCCAGCCGGGCTCACACACCTCCACGTCTGAACGATGGACAAACAGCAGAGGAAAGAAAACATCAAAACGACAGAGGAGAGGAAACATCCAAAGAAGAAGGAGAGAGGAGAGGAAACATTCAAAGCAGAAGGATAGAAGAGAGGAAACATTCAAAGCAGAAGGACAGAGGAGAGGAAACATCCAAAGCAGAAGGAC